AGGAAGGACGGACGGACACTTGTTGTTGTCCTTCTTGTCTATCTATCAGCCATCCATCCATCCATCCATCCGTCCATCCGTCCATCCGTCCATCCGTCCATCCGTCCATCCGTCCATCCGTCCATCCGTCCGTCCATCCATCCATCCGTCCATCCGTCCATCCATCCATCCATCCATCCATCCATCTACTTGGTTCTATTCTGTTCTGTTCTGCCCTATTCGTTTTTGTCTAGTCTATTCTGTATATTCTCTACTTGTGTTAAATTGTGCTTACCTATCTTTCTATCTATTTAACGCCGCTCGCCAGCATGGACTCACAAAAAGCACAGAGGCACGCACCAAAACAAAGAAAAACTGCTGGAAAAGGTAAAGTTTGCAAAGCCCAAAACATCCAACACAAAACCAAAAAGGAACCTAAATAAAATCCAAACCCCTTTGTGGAGGACCCCATGCTGTGGCTCCGCGGACAAGAACTCCGAGCTCCCCTTGTGCGGGAACCCACGCCCTTTGTGCCGACCGTGGAGAAGATAGAAACCATGACGGATTCCGAAAGGCAGAACCGATTGGAGTATTGGATCGCCTTTTGCTTGTTGAGTGTCTTTATCACCACCATCCTGGGCACCCTTCTTATGCACTTGTGCCCGAAGATGCGGCGATGTTTGTCCGGCTCGGGCAAGCAAGGTGCATATACGCAGGTGCGCAAGAGCCACGTCTCGCGACTTGAACGGGGTGACGAGGGCATCACAGAGAGGGACTCTGCTCAGAGCGTGCAGGGTGCTTGGCGCGTGGAGAGACAGCGGATTTGGACGGCGGTGGCCTTCGCCGGCACGGCGACTGCCTGTGGACTTGCGAGCGTGTGGTCGCTCGTGACCCACCGACTGGACAAGTCCGTGGGTCTGAACTGGGAGGTTTATGCGGTTCTGCTGGTGGCAGGCAGGTGTTCCTCTTTTTTTATCTCTTTTCTTTTCAGAGTCTGTTCGAACTAATCCGACGAGCGCCGACGACGGGGGGTCGGCGCTCCTGCGAGCGCTCCGGCGCTCCCTTTTGGTAGGTGAACTCTGGCTGCTGCTGCAAGCGCTGCTTGCAGTGATTTGGCTCTCTCACGAGGGCAACTTTGCCGTGACGACCTTCGCAGAAGCCCTTTTTGTTTGCGTAACCCCCTTCATTTCAGATCTGTTTGATACTTTGAAAGACACAGTGTTTGCAGCCCTTTGCTTGCAATCCAATCACCTTCTGCTGAAGGTCGTCGGTATTTTAAGCTGGGCCTACTTGCTCTTAATTCATGTGTACTTTCTCCTAGAGGCGAATACCCTGACCGAACTGGTGGGCTGTTACTTGCCGGCCTTGATGGCCATGCCCGAAACAAAAGTGACAGAAGCAGCATCAGGGACCTCGTCGTGCTATGAGAGCTTGTTTCAAAAATGCATTCCGCTTCTGTCACTTCTATACAAGCAGATGACCCCAACGAAGCGGCATCTGCTTATCTTAGAAAACGTCCCCCAAGCCGTGGGTGCGATCATATTCCTGAAACTAGAAGGTGGATCGTTCTTTGTGGGAGTCATTAACCTCATCATCCCAGGGGTCCAGATTTTGGCCACCTATCTTCTGTTTCACCCGCTTCGAGCTTGGCTGGGGCCCGAACTGGGCCGCAAGCTCGCCCTCTTTCTGGAGAAGCCCGACTTCTTGAAGGCGAAGCAACTCTGGACCGAGGCCAGGGGCCACCAACGAGCGAGAGCCGATAGCGATAGTGAGCTATGCGGTGTGTCGTAGACGTTCAAGTATAATAATGTGAGCCTCCTTTAGGTATTTTTCTATGTATGTTTAAAATCGATTTCTTTCACAAGCTTCATCAAGGCTTGGAGTGGTTCTTCCATGAGCTTGATCGTGTTTCAGCCGGTGATCTTGCTGGCGATCTGCTGTATGCACTGCAATTCGATTTCATTTACGTGCGATACAGGTTCGGTCCAAGCCTGATATATGACATGAATAGAACATACCACTGATCACACCTTCGACCAAACAAGGCCAGCACTCGGAGGAACGGCCGTTCGGAACGGTCACGGATCGAAGGCGTTGGACCGGCCGTTGGGAGGCGGATTTCGAGAATGACCATGAGCTGCTGCGGAAGGGCCTCCCTTCCCTCCTCCAGACGCCGCTGCTGAAGCATGTGGTGGGAGAAGCCAAGAGCGAGGCCAGGCTTCGGGTGAGATTTGCGAAGACGCGAATGTCCTACCACCCTGTCTCAGGATCTGTTTTTGTTGATGTGTTTGTATTCTTTTGTCATGATAGATGGAACACTGTTTAAGCCGGCAGTATGATTCCAGTCGTGGCAACAGGGAGAGATGCAGTCTTAACATTTGGGAAAGGTGTAGACCCAACGAAGTGCTGCCCAGACACTGAGAGATCCTTTCATGAAGCGTGTGTTTACATATTCAGATTAGGACCTTGGGACATTGGAGTTCGACCCAAAATCTTGCGATTTGCCTCCAGCAGTTTCAGAAGCTCTGGGTTGACCGTTGCCTTATGCACAGCAAGTATGATTGCGCCTGTGCATTTTCTCACAAACCTGGCAAAGCTGACCACGTGCTGCTTTCATCAACATCTGAGGAAAGAGCCTGGCTGCCAGTAGTTTTGCATGGTCCTGAAGACTTTCAAAAGTCATGCCAGGGGTTGACATATATTGCGAATGCACAACGAAAGGCGGAGCCAGCAGTCGATGCGCGCTCCCTTTTTGGTCAAACCGTGGGGGCTTGAGTGCTGAGTGTAGCCGACATGAACTCCGCACCTGCAGACTGACTGGAATTTGCACCGGTGGACATCTAAATTTAAACAAAAAAATTAACTTTCCATGGGTTTTATCCCTTCAGCTTTTCGGCGCCGTGCCGACTTCATTTTCTCATCGTATACTATCCTCCACTTTTGGCCCATCTGGAAGTACAAATGGATTTGACCTTTTTCCGTAGGTTTTGTGAGTGAATTTACCAGTTGAGCATCGGAATGCACCCACCTGATCATGGTTCCAGAGTCTGTTGCTGAATCCTTCAATGCAAGAGCTTCCATCGTGGCTCGTTTCTCTTCACCCTTAATGGTTGGTGTATCCTTGTCCATGCGATCATAGAGGTTCTTACTGTCTGTCACCACAATCCCTGGAGAAAGCATGACTATGTTGTCTGCTGAAAGCCGCATCAAAATGCTAGGTGGATGATTGAGCTCGGACCATTAATACCTCATTTGATAAAGCTCATCCTCCGCATTGACAACAGCATGAATCTCTGCGCATGCTGGGGATCTGCATTTCCGGCCGATCTTGCCTGAGCGCCATGACAGAAGTGTCACCTTCGAGAGGCTGCCTTCACGGAGTGTTCGAGGTGCTAAGCCTATGACTATACCTTCTGTGCTGTTGATTTGATCTGGACGGTTTGCCCAAACTGCATCTCCCCAAGCAATGAGGTCGACTATTTCTCCGTTCTGGAGAGGATGGATTCTTATATCTGGAGCGGTTCTCTGCACATCTGCAACCAGGTTATTGAGTTTCACCAAGTCTTGAACAGTGCTTCGGGGTATAGTTGAAACCAGGTAGTTGACATCTGAACTGTGAACAACGTCGGTTTGCCCACAAACCCAACTCAAGCTACCCAAAACAGCTCTCATTTGTGACTTTTCTTTGTCCGTTGTTTCAACCTGTCGTTCCTTCAGCCTGTCCTTTGAGATCTTGATCATAGCGAGACCTTCAATGAAATCTTTCTGGGAAAGAGTGAAGCTGAAATCGGAATGTTGTGTCACTTTCACGCCACATTGTATGAATGGACTGTCCTCCCAAACATCCCAATTGAACTTCTGTTTGATCTGACTCATGAGTTGTACATGTACATCGTCACTGTCGCACCCTCCAAAAAGAAAGCCATCTACGTGACCACTGATTGCTGAACGTGGAACACCTTGACCATCAAAATATACCCAAATGCATGGCTCTGTACGCATTCTGGTGTAACATAGAGATCAAGAAATGGACACGCTGCGATACCACCAGAGTGGGGCCTCGACGAGTCCATACGCTGCTCTCTGAAGTTGGGTCACCGAACCTTCAGGGATGTCCAATGCTTGACAGATCTCTCAAGTGGGCTGCACTAGCATGCCGTCCTTCAGCTCCTCGCCTTGTAGGAATGCTGATGAAACATCGCCCTTGCGTACTCTGAAATGTTGCCGTGCGCAGAGGCATAAAAACAGTTGACGGCCAGAACGTGACAATGTCGGTGATGCTGTTTGTTTGTACTCATAATTCTTGTGTTGGTATCCTAATATCACCGCGCGAGCCTTGGCACGCCTGGGTCGATCTGGATCGTCAACCAGTTTCCAAGTCAAAACCCATCTCATACCCACAGCATCCTTTGAATTTTGTAGTTCTGGTGGTAGGACCTTAAAACAATGTGATTGTATGTAGTTGCGAACCTCCTTGCCCTTGGCTTCGTCAAACTCCAAGATTTCTTGATCTGTCAATGTTCTCTCTCGCACCTCTACATGAGATCTCTTGAGTTGGCTTACAACAAATGCCTCTGGATTTGCACAATACCGTTGGAAACCTCTTTTGGAAGTGGGGATGTCAATGCTGATCTCAAATGCTGTCAGGACTTGCTCTGGATGCTTTGGCTGTGAGAGCGGGATCTGACATCTCTGCATCAGGCTGGCTGGATGCCGGCGGCATCTCCACATCCGGACTGCTCGCATCTAGTCGAGGTCGAGAGGGACGATCATCAAGAAGTGGAGTAGTTCTCTTCCCTGTCACTCTTCGCCTACCTGCGGGGTGTTCTGAAGCCTCTTGCCATTGAAGATCTGAGGGAACTTCTGAGGTAATATCCCAATAGGTAGATCTTTGTGGATGACTAGCCAAACTGGAAATGGTCCATTGGATCTCGCAGGGCCCCTTGAGATCCTCGATGGCCCTCTCTCGACTGGACGCAGTTCTCAGCTGTTCTGGCCCCGCCTTGATAAGGCGTCCTGCTCGGTGGAGCCACACGCAACTCCCAGGTCGAAGTTTTCCTTCGTCATCAACACGGGTCTCAACAGCTAGGACTCTAGCGGGGCCCACAGAATGACCTCTCCAAGAAAACCCACGACCTTCACCACCTTGAGTCTGTCGTCTCCAATAGAACACCAGGTCCCCAGGGGTAAAGGATTTGAGTGGTCTTCTACCTGCTGCCTCTGCCCTAGTCAGCCTTGCTTGTGCCTGAAAACGTAGGAAGCTCTGTTCTGCTGTTGCCATTGCTTTGATGTTTTCTGCAAAGCCACCATCAACCATCTGTTGGGGGTGAACTGGATGTTGATCTACGTTTCCCTCAAACAAGCGTCCCCACTCATCTGGTGCACGACCCATAGCATGTTGCGCAGGAGAATAATCATGTTGATTGTCACGACTGTTGCATGCCCAAATAGCCCTTGTGAACAACTCTGTCATGCCCATTTCTGGAAAGTCGTTCGCTAGGGACTCCATGACATGTTTGACAGCCCTGATGGCTTCTTCGACCACCCCGATCTGCCAATGAGCTTCCGCCGGGATTGGTGTGAGAATAATCCCACGTTCTTGGCAGTATTCAGCGGCCTCATCACTTCTCCACACGCCCTCCGGATCTACCCGTATTTCTTCGGGTTGTCCAAAAACTGACATCCAAGACTCTTCAAAAATCTTCTGCACAATGTTCCAGGTTGCTTGGTTTCTACTGTTCTCAAAAATGATTCGCCCTACACGAAAACGTGAGCCCTCATCAATGAAAATAATGAACTACCTTGTTCTTTGTCTGGGGGTGCATCCAAGAACCCAAATCACATTGAACCTTCTGCCATTTCTTTGCCAGAGTCTCTAATGTCGCTGGACGATGAGGTGCAGTCCTCTTCCGTTCCTCACATACGGGGCATTCAAAGTCGCGAGCCACCGCGAGGATCCTCTCTGAGACGCCCCTGTGCTTCAGCGATTTGAGACGAGTGCTCAAAGAACCATGACCTGTGACATTGTGAATATGCCGAACCAGTTTCAGAATCCTCTCACGTTCTTCTCTGTCGATGTCTCCTTCATTCACAAGGCAACTCTCTGAAGACTCCTATCCGAGGATGCTGTGTCCTCAGCGTTCAGCTCATAGGTCAAAGCGGTCCACGCTTCATGCTCCTGTAGAGCCTCCACCACCTTTTTCACAAACACCGGAGTATAGTATGCTGACATAGCTGGCCTACCACTTTCACATGGTGTCTGCTTGTGGTTTTGTTGACATGGGAGATGCATATGATGGAGGAGACCCTGGTTGGCGGTTGCTATGGTCCAACCCTTGCACATCAGCCTCGCAACGCTCCGACAATTCCCAATGAATTTGGGATCCACGGCG